ACAAGCACATGGGAAAATTCAAATTGCACCAGGAACTACCTTCGATTTTACTTCAATTGATTTGGAAGATTGGGGTGAGATCGGACGAGGAGGGTTTGGAACGGTGAATTAAATGATATTTCGTCATACAAACACCGCAATGGCTGGTAACACTTTGTTATTTTCACTAATTTAAAATTGGTGAACAATTTCCAATTTCAATTCGATGTTTTAGTGAAACGAATCAGGATAGTCGATGAAAAGGACCATAAACAATTAATGGACTTGGAAGTGGTAATGAAATCAAATGACTGCAATTACATTGTTCAATTCTATGGAGCTCTTTTCGAAGAGGTAAAACTAATTATATCAATATATTTTTAAAAAAAGCTTTCTATCTTCGTCTATTTATTTGTTAGTCTATCAATTTAATATGAAAAAAAAATCACAGGGCGACTGCTTGATTTGTATGGAACTGATGGATATATCTTTGGATAAATTCTACAAATTTATTTGCGAAAAACAGGGTGAACGTATACCCGAATCAATTGTAGAAAAAATAACCGTTGCAGTTGTCAAGGCTTTAAATTATCTGAAAGAAAAACAAAATATCATCCATCGAGATGTTAAACCGAGTAACATTTTATTGAACAAACGTGGTGATATCAAGTTGTGTGATTTTGGCATTTCTGCAAAGTTGGTCGATTCAATTGCAAGATCCAGAGACGCTGGCTGCAGACCTTATATGGCGGTTTGTTTTCAATCAATTTATTTTATAAAATAAATACTTTTTTTTTAATTTTTAACTTGAATACTTACAGCCTGAAAGACTCAATCCCAAGACTGCTATAACAGCCTATGATGTTCGCAGTGATGTTTGGTCACTTGGGATTACATTATACGAAATTGCGACTGGACGTTTTCCATATAAAAAATGGGAAAGTGACTTTGAACAGTTGTACCTTGTTGTTAAAGGTGATGCACCACGTTTAACAAGATCTTATAATGATATTGGCTTTTCTGATGAATTCATGGACTTCGTCAATACATGGTAATTATTTTGTAACCATTTTTATGTGTTTTCAAGTCTTTTATAATTGTCTTGAAAATAGAAAAGTTCCAACGCTTATGAGGTTGACGATTTCAATTGAAAGTTTACTGGGTTTTTTTTAATGCTTCACCTTCCATTCACAGTTTAATTAAAGAAAAGAGAAACCGCCCAAAATATCCACAACTTCTGCAACATCCATTAATCAAGCGTGGTGAACAAAGCCATGCTGAGGTCACATCTTATGTTAGTGACACTCTGCAAACTATGGTAAAGCAAGGAATGACCCTGTTTACTGCTAATGAGCATTAAAAAACTAGCGGAATGTTGATTTATTATTGTGAGCATTTATGTTACTTTACTAGCATTTAATAAAAGCTCCGATCTTCAAGTTGTTCTATGTGTTTTATGTGTGCTTCATTGAGAATTGGCTACAAATATCAGTCAAAATAGAAAAAAGCCCAAATGTGCAGAGCTTCCAGAGAAAATCGCTACGTTCATTTTTGCTTGTAGCAATCTATAAGAGCAATTTTTGTTTTGTTTGTTTTTGCTATAAAAAAAAACAAATATTCTTCTTCCCACGAAAAAGCTGAAATTATTGTTTTTCGCGAATTCCGCGGAACGGATAAAAGATAAGAGATGACCGAGAGTATGTTACTACAATGTTCTCGCATACTACAAACGACAATAGCAGTGCGAAATAACATAGTGTCAAAGCTTTTGAATTCGCCGCATTCGTTTCAAAGATTTGAAATTCAATTGTTACAAAAACGTTGTGTCAACCGATCGACTATGCTCTTCTTTGATCAGAATTGTAGAACGTCGATATTGCATTATTATTATAATTGAATCAACAGTTTTTTTTGCATTTATTTTTAAATGATCTTTTTAAATCCAAGTTTTCATAAGGCAGTTTAGTGGATTTTCTTCCACCCATATGTTTATGAATGCCCAGTTGAGGTAATTGATATGAGGTAGCTGCTGTGTAATTTATTGCTAAAATCGACTTTGTTTTGTTTAAGTCATATCAATCTGGAGTGTTACTGGTCGATTTTTATCTGTACTTAGAATATTTTAAAGTAAATGAATTTCAACGTGAATTCCCCTTGTGTTTTGATAAAGTTTCTACCATTTTATAATAATGCAAGCTGTCGCTATTTTTCTTCCCTTTTTGTCGTTCTCTGCCAAGCAAACGAAACTGAATATCGACATTTGTATTGAGAGCATTTACATTGAAGTTTACCTTCTGCATTCCAAATATCCATGGTCGCAGCGTAGGCACAAGCACAAGCCACAAAATATGAGTATCAATATCAAAGTGCCATGGAGCAGCGACTGAAAGTGCAAACAATAAATCGTGCAAAGATTGACTCATCTTTCGAAAATATTAAACGCACAGTATTTTTGCAGACGATCATGATCGTCGAACAAAAAATTGGCTGTCAAAAAATGTTGTGACAGTTAAGTGTCAAAGTTTGTAGACTAATATAACACAAAGACAATCATGATCCCATCACAATATTTACATACTGTCAAAGTTTTCAATTCGCCGCACTCGCCCTGAATATTCTAAACAAATCAACAGTTCTTTTTTATTTGCTTCTGTTTATTAAGAAAAATGATTCCAATTTTGATAAGATGGATATGTAGTGGAATTTCTCTCAACTTAATCGTTCACTGACAGCTTAGTTGAGGTAGTCGACGTGTGAGTTATCTCTAAAAAGTATTCGGTTGTCTTTTGATTATGTAAGGTCAAGCTGGATTGTTAGACAGTTGATGTGGTTCTATTAAGCAAAGCAATTTTATTTTCTATTAAGAAGCATTTTTGGTGTAACACAACTTCTACTTACAATTTAATGATTCAAGCTCATCCGGTTGCTCTTGTCGTTCCATTCGTCGAACTCTGTCAAGCGGATGGAATTGAATACTCATCACATTCATACTGAACACATTAGAATCAATTGTTTACCTTTCGCAGTGCCACTGATAGAAGAGGCAGCAAATCATACATGAGGCAATAATCCCAAGTATGAATACCAGTGAAAGTGGACCAGAAATTCCAAGTACAATCAGAAACTCTTCGAAAAGTTTACCCATATTTTATTTCAAATTTTAAATACACAATTAAAATACAGAAGCTTTACTGTCAAACGATGCTAGATAAGTGTCAGAATGAACTGCAAACAATGGAATGGAAATGTAAACAAACAAAAAGTGTCATTAGTCTTAGTTTTATGTTCGTTTGCATTGGTGTGCATGATGCTTTTTTATCGTTGTTGAATTGACAAGAAACACTCAAAGACATCAAAAGTAATACTTCAATCGGTTGCAAAGCTCAACGTCATTTCATTCTCGCTCTACGAATGCTAAGAAACAATTGTAGCTGGTGAACATCACACTGTACTCTCACCGTTTTCTATTCAAAAGAAAAGATTCACATTAAAAGTGTTTTTCATTACATTTTTATAACTTAATCACCATTTGCTGACTACCACTCAGGCCTTTGGAAACAATCCCTACTAATCAGTATGAAATTTTATTATTATTTTCAAATTCCCATTTTGAATTGATGAATAATGCGATTGAGTAAATGAAATTCTTACATGTGTTTTGACAGTCCAAATATAATACTAAAAAAGATCCACAACAAGCACACAAAATATAAATTCCGATAAAACAATCCCAAAGTACATTAGGTAGACCCACAAAGCTAAATCCATTTAATTTAATTCAATATATTCGCGATGCTGTTGCGAAACTCAATTGGAATGATGCCGAAATTCCCGCATTTGTATCGCTTTTAGTTGTATGAAATCGCAGGTTATCATGAAAATGAAACCATTCGAGATTAATCTTCGATAGCTATGAATAGCATATAATGAATTATTATCGGTTTCTGTTGGTTTCTCGTTTGAGAAGAAATAGAATTGGATTAAGAGAATTCTCTAAAGTATTCGTCTTTATAGAGTGACACAAACACACTATGTGCTGTTCTGCTTTGCCTGCTTTGTCGTTTATTTATTTTTATTGAAATTATTGAATGAAGTATGTATTTGCATATGTATACCCAATATATATTGGGCGCTAATTCGGAACTTAACTCAATGCAAGTGTGGGGAAATGGAGGGGAAATGTAGTAAAATAAAAGAAAGTCGAACTAAGACAGCGCTGACGATATGAAATGTTTCCGCTGAGAACGCAACGACAATGTCGGCGTCGCAACAATATTCATTTACTGTAACAGAGTTCTATTCTCTGAATTTGCTATATTCGCTTCAAACAAACCTAGAAACAAACTCGGCTCTTTGCTTTGTTCATTTAGAGAAAAGCTATATTTTGGTGAAAACATTGTAATATTTTGTTATCTGTTCCACCTCATAGTATGCAGTTCAAAAGTTTTTATAATTTCCATGTTGGTGTTACAGGTTCAATTAAAAAAATCAATTTTTTGAGAAATACAATTGATAACAGAAAGTAGATGTAGCCAGTTAAAAAATTTTGAACAAGAGAAAAATCACTCATCCTTTCCAATAACTGTCGCAATTTATTCACGCAATTGAAAACAAACGTGTGTGCTATGCTTAAACTG